TCTCTCTCTCTCTCTCTGTCCCTCTTTCGGTTTTCTCAACTTCCCTCTCACCCCTTGTCTGTCTACCCTCCAGTCTGTTCGTAAAGTAAAGGCCTATAATAAATTACTTTACAATATCCCCAATTGACCGAACTGGTCTTTCCAATATTTAACCTAAATGTACGGCGGTATGCAGGGTGACAGTCTATTAAATACTATCATATATCATCTTTCATAATATTCACACTAAATCCTTTAGCTAACGATTTGACTACTCAATTATTTTGTTCCGGTGTTTCACAATTCCTGGGGGCACAATTCAAATAATCAGGAGACCGACCTAAGCCCTTTCTGTCAGGGCTAACATGGGCTGAGAGGGATACAACACCCCAGCAGAAAGGCAGAGATACTCGACAAGAATTCTCTCCCCCCCCCCCCCCAAGGGGAATCGAACTTGAGTTTTCTGCTCGAGTCAGCAAAGCGCCCAACCGCTACCCCACAAACCCCGGTTCGCTCTCCGATAGCAAATACGGGTAACACATTAATTATGTGAGGATAAAGATAAGAAACTTTCAGGGAACAATGATATGCACACCGCTGAGAAAGGAGTCGAACCAACGAAATTTAAAGTGCAAGTGAGATATTACACGCCCCAGGCACCTTCTTTGACTGTATCAGTACTTACTTTTGCTGTAGGGTTTATAGGAGACGTTTGTGAGTTTGCAAAACGCTCTGCCCTTTCTCGTACATTTTTTTAGTTTGAAGTCGAATCTGAGGAAAACATTTATTACAATCTGTTACACACTTTTAGAGAAAGGTAATAAATGTAGATGGCTTGCTCCCTAATCAAAAAAGAATTAGGTCATTTAGGATGTGCGCTGCTTCGGCCCTGTCTGTCAGTGCCAACCTGGTATGTAAAGGATACATTGTCCTTACAGAAATACGGGGATACTCCATGAAAATTGTCAATTCTCCTCAAACAAATATAAAGCTCATGTCTTCTGGGTGCGACGGCAATTATGCGCCAAACCAGTACCTCACGGGTGCGATAAGAATATATACTATTGCGAAATGTCGCCATCCTAAAAGTCCAAGAAACATGATATACGTATTACATGGTATATTTTGATTATGTCTGCATTTTCTCCTTACACTTCGCGTCTTCTGTTCGTGGATTTTCCCCCACCCCACCCCACCCCTCTCTCTCTCTCTCTCGCTCTCTC